TGAGTACATGGCTGCGAGGGACACCAAGCAATAACATGGTGGTGCACTGATGCTGGATAGTGCTCAAGGGGATAAAGCATGTATCGTTTGTTGGGCAGAAGGGGAAGGGGGTGATCGATGAACGTCCATCAATTGCCCAAAAGTTAATCTGGGCAAAATTGAAAACTTCGAAAAAGGCAATATCGAACAATTTTACATCCATTGTTGCATCAGATGACACAATTTCGGCATAATGCTGTAAAAGAGAAAGGAACACGTGGAGATCAAAAAAGTTGATTACACGGGGGTACATTCCCCCGAAAAAAATCCAATTTTCGTCGTGATTCTAGAACTGAATTATCAAGACAGACATGTATAGGTGTTCTATAGGTGTTGTCGCAAGTTATACAAGACATGCATGCAAAAACTGCATAAAAATAGGCAGCAAAACTCTGTTGTTGAATCGAGGTAAAATGATGTAAGAACATCGGGAAAATTATAAATAATCAATCAAAAGCACCAAAAGACCGGCAACGATATGCGTTTTTTTTTTTCGAATTGGGAAAGTGGTTTTTTTTTTCATGATATGAAAACCACGAAAAAAAACCATTTTTCCAATCTCACAATTTGAAAACCCGAAAAATTTAAAGTCCTTAAACTAGAGCACTGAGTAAGTTAATTTTTAAAAATAACCCTTTATCTGATTTGATCTCGAAGCTGAGCTATGGGTCACAGACATACAAACACACACATAAAAACATGTGTTAGTAAGCATACACACAAACAGACACAAACATACACGCACACGCATGCAAAACGTATATGCGCAGGTCCACATAGACAGACACAGACATACACCGACACACACACATACACACTGAGGTTCTCGAAAATATGCGATTTCACATTTGTATAAAGTACCAAAAAAAACACATAAAAATCGAAGAAAATTTTCAAAAAAAAACTTCTTAAATTACCCGAAACCAAAATCATAAAACACACACTGAAAACACAAAAATTAAAAAGTATTTAGTTTTAAACTATTACTATTAAAAATAACAGTAATGACTATTTCACTTTAATAAATTACAAAATACAAATATCCTACAAATGCCTTGTCAAATCGTTTTCTGTGCGTCGACCTCAGGTATTCTCAGTTGCTTGCTGGGATGGGAAAACCAGTTTTCCCCGGGGAACTCTGCCGCTCACTGCTTTCTTCGGGATGATAAATTAATCCACACGCTACATGAGGGTTCAATAAACCTAACAAATCTCTTACAAGCCCAATAAATTTTTTACAGTTTCATCCAGTCCGGCCGCTTCATCTGGACCGTTCATTTTCCCTTACGTTAATTTAACATCTCTAGATTTTTACGACTTCATAAAAAGTTTTTGGCCTACATTTTTTACACTGGCGCTCGTGGTACTGAGGTTTTTATTACCAACCCTCATTTACCTCAACGAAGACATTCCTGTTTGGAATGATCACTTCTTGGTTGGGCCTTCACTGCCCTTCCTACCCATCTTATTTCAAAATTTCTTTTAGTACTATTCTCAGACTATCAAAAATTACATTTCTTTTTAGGACGAGGTTTTTCACAGGTTTTTTGTCGAGCCTATCGTTTCAGAACAGATTTTTCGGCTTTTTGAGGCCAATTAACACTTCCCAATTGATTTTAGCGAGTTTAGATGCTGCTGACAAAGGAAAAAGGCTAAAAAATTAAAGTAAGAATAACAGTTTCAACATAACCAAAGACGAATTCAGGGCGGTTTCCTGATGCAGAGGGGGAGGGGGAGGCGATTTTTCATCTTCCCCTCTCTCTTCGTCACTGCAAACCTCCTCCCCCTCCTCCGTCAACTCATAATCCACCCCTCAATCGTCAAGGGGGTATTGCGAGGGGTGGATTGAGGGGTGCATTGCGGGGTTAGCCCTC